TTTTCCTTGTTTCTCACTGTTAGCACTCAAAAAGTGTTAAATATATAGTTAAAAAAGAAGTAAAGTAGTTTAGTTAAAGATGTAATAAAGTAAAGATGGCAGCTGTGATCATATACCTGTTAAATTAATGATCACAGTGGAAGCTAAATTGCCTTTACTGACTTACATGCATATTAAAATAAATGGGGAAACGTCACTTGTTATACATCGTTCACAATTAAATGATTTCAGTTAAAGTTGTCTTTTAATGATTCCTATTATTATAATTATATCTGAACCAAGCACAGTGAGTTATAGATAAAGAGGTACAGACTTTATTTTTAATCTTTCAGACAAGCGAGTTGTGCTTACACTGATTGCATTCAGTGTAAAGTAGATCGCTGGCTCAGAAAACCATTATCTAACTTCTTAACTGCCTCTACGCCGCTGCATTAAAACGTGTCCATCCAACAGGTGTTGATGAAGTCATTTAGTCTTGCTGTGGTTGTGTATTGTATTGCTGATGTGAATGAAACTCCAGTGTCTGACTCCGTGGTGGGAATGAAGGGCGCTATAGAGAACCATTTAGCTAATATAGGAACACAGATTAACCCCGCTGCCTCCCATAATGCCATTCTTTGAAAGGGGACAACAGTTCTCACCAACTGAGAACAATGCACAGGTTGGCTTTACTCCACCTGGCTCATACACCTGTGCCAAACTGAGCAGTGCAGAAAAGTCACACCTAAGACAATCCACTATAAATCCACCAGCTTTCATTTTTTTAAATTTTAAATTATTTTATTTTCCTTTTTATTATAATTAAATAATGTTTTCTAATGAAGCAGCAACCTAGAGATTCATTGATTTATGTCATTGGTTAGGTCACAGCCTTTTTTATAAGCCAGCAGTGTGTGGTGGCTAATGTTAGCTTACTTTATATAGATATTTCTGTGTAAGTTTTATGACTTTAAGACTCGTCTCTTGTGAAAGTAGCTGCCTTTTGATAAAAGTTTCATGGTCTCACTTTAAAGGGCCAGCGTGCGGGATTCTGTGGCATCTAGCGGTGAAGTTGCAGACTGCGACCATTTGAAAATAGTGTGTAGGAGAAACTATGGCGCCCATGAAACTTGTGAAAAACACCAAAAAGCCCATTCTAGAGCCAGTGTTTGGTTTGTCCGTTCTCAGCTACTGTAGAAATATGGCGGTTCAACATGGCGGACTCCATTGAAGAGGAGCCACTGTAGATAAAAACTGCTCATTCTTAGGTAACAAAAACACAACAATTCTTATTTTCAGGTGATTATAAAACTAATGAAAAACTACCTATGAATATTAAATACCATGTCTGCCAATAGATCCTCTTAAATGTTCCACACTGGACCTTCAAAACAAAGCAAAGTCTACTTGAAACTAGAGCTTCAGAACAAAGATTAGTCAACTAATAGATGAGCTGATGGACAGAAATGTATTTATCTTACATTATAGTAAATTAAATGTTTTGGGGCTTGTTGCTCTGACCAAACAATTAATTAATAATAATTAATAATGTCACTTTGAGCTATGTAGTTTTTTCCCACTGGCATTCACGGATGTTTTTCACTGTTTTCTGATGTTTTCTACACTGAAAGTCAATCCATTAATTTAGAAAAATAATCAGCTGAGTACTAATGGTAATGAAAATAATAATTAGTTGCAGCCTTAAAACCCCTTATCATTGGTTTATGTGTCTTCATACCTTTGCAGAGGTCAGATTTACATGAAAAGTGAGAATTAAAGTAAAAAATAAACATATCTTTGTGTTGCAGAAAGTTTTTTTCTGCTTTTCAACCATTATTTATTTTGTAATCCTCACTCCTGTCTCAACCCAGATTGAGAACCACTGCCATTAATAAAGTTATGCAGCTGTAAGTGTTTTTTAAGTAGCTGTAACCTGTCTCAATGAAATGCTGCAACAACTCTCTTCAGTATATTTTAAATAGCCGCAAACTTGACAACAGGACATTTTTAATGTAATGCTGAAATAAAATAAAATAAAATAAAATGAAATAAAATGAATATAAAACAATGTGTGCCCCAAGAATATCTTCTGAATGCAGTTTTAATTTTTCTAGTATGTTTGAGTGAGTGTGTGTCCTACCTGTGCACTGAGTGAGGAGAGAAAGCAGAGTCAGGAGGTAGACAGAAAAATCCATGATTAGGACAGAGACCAGAGAAGATCCTGAGAGACTAATCTCAGCTGCCTTCACATACTGGCTCTGAGCTGCATTTGAGGGTGGGAGGGAGACGGTCATGAGTATGACAAAAGGTAAGGTGAGTGTGTGTGTGTGTGTGTCTGTGTGTGAGCGTGTAGAGCTAAAAAAAAAGTCACTTTGAGAAAATACCCTCAGTTGTCAGCTTTTTTAACGAAGAAAGACTGACACCTGGTGACAAAATCAGATACTGTGGTGTTATTTCCTGTTATTTGTGCGTTATCTCTAACTGGAAGCAGCCTCTGCCTCCTTCATCAGACTAAAAGCTGTGTCACAATTACAGAAATGCAAGTCCAAACCAGATTGTGGCGCATTCCCCAAATTAAAAGGGGAACTCTGTCTATTTTACACATCAAAGTATGCTACCCTAAAGTCTTGGTTAGTACTGCTGCATATGTGAAAAATAAGCTGTATAAGATCTTTTGTCGCTCCAGAGGGAGCTGTTGGAAGCCTCAAGTGATGTCACTTGAGTCAGCAGTAATGGTAGTGTCCTGGTTTAAACAATGGTTGTAGTGCAATATAATATATATATAATAATGAATTGAAAACATGATGGTAGGCCTTTTTCATAGAATATATTTTAACATGTCACAGTGGGAATCATTGGCTGAATCCCATTAAGCTGCTTCGCTGTCAGAACCCTGGTATTGTGCATACAGAGACACTTGAATAGGACAGAGCCATTGTTAGTGTTATTACTAACACCTGAGTACCTGCGAAAGATCTATTTCCTCTGATTATCAGACTAGTATTTTGCATGTTAGCTCACTGTAAAGGTTTTCTGGGACTGAGGCATCAATGATGTTATTAAATACACCTTTTACTTTTTTCTGCTACGACAACACAAGCTGTGAAAAACAGCGATTGTTGTGTGTGGTGGGGAAAATAGAATGGAAATGGAGGGGCAATGATGATCGGACAGCTCATGAACATCATGGAAGGCAAAACATAAAGTCACATGTTTAAAAAACATGTTGCTTTCTGGATATAAAATGGTCTGCACTGTTGTAGTAGTTAAAAACAGAAATACATTGTTGTCTTGTACACTAACTGTCAAAATGATGAGGATTAGTCATAATTATGTATATTTGACAGTCTGATAGAGGCCACGATTAGCACAAAGTTAGAAAACAAACTCAGACATAATAAATATATATAATATTGAAATACTACATCATGAAAATTGAATAACCATGTCACAAATGGATACATGTATAAATATATTTATTTGAATATTAATCCAATATAGAAATACATGTATTTATTCAACTATTAATTACCAACATTTAGCAACTATTGTTGTTTAAAGATTATTAAACAACTGACGAGGCTGTTTAAATTTGTTACAGGCTTTTGGTGTTTTAAGAAAATTAAATAAAAAAACATCCTTAACATTATCCTGTCTGATTCTGACAGACTGTAGTCTACTTACGGACGGACTGAAAACCCCCATGAATGAACATTGAAGTCTCAAAGACAGACTGACTGACATAATATCTTCATCTCTACCGTCAAACTCACACTGGACAGAAATTATCAAGCAACTTCAGGTTGAACGTTGAGTTAATGGCTTATCTGTTACTGAAATGGAATGGACACAAAATAAACTGTAGGTAACTCCTACGAAACAATAACAACAATTTCACTGTGACAAGAAATTGCATTACATTTGTTAAACTTTACTAACTTTTCAGTGAACATTGTTAGCAAATGCTACAATTATTGTTCAAATCACAGTAAAAAAAAGAAACTCACATTGTACTGTCAGTCTTATAGCAATGTTACACATTTTGTTCCTTCATTTAAAATTATTTAGTGTATTTATCATATATATATATATATTGACTATATATTAGGTATGCAAACCTGGTCTAACGGGTTAAAATGGAACGTAGTAATGCTGAACACAAATGGAAGAGCCACACTGTACCTTCATACCTTCGATTACGTTCATTAAAATAAGAAGCGAGCTACGTGAAACGTCTGACATCGTTACTGAGATTAAGGCAACTACCTGAACATTTCCTGTATTACAGCAGAGCAGGTGCTGATCTGATTCCTATACGATATATATTCTTCTCTCTGGTCCTGAGGGTCAAGGAAACAGCAGGCTTGTTGGGAGCAGCGGGATGTCTTCAAAGGAGATATCTCTGAAAAAAAAAAAGATGTCCTTCAGTTTAGAGGCCAATGAGTTAATCACTTTTCTTTAATCAACTGCTGCAGGAATGAGTCCTTAAACCCAGAAATGAGTTCAAGTCCATGGGTTTTTGGTTACATGCCTGAAATAAAGTCTGTGGTCAACAAAAGCTTAAAAGAGTTCCATGTTTTGTTGTCAGTTTATCCCTTCTGGGCTACTGTAGAAACATGGGGGTTGAACATGGTGGCTGACTTCATTAAAGGCTCATTCTAAGGTTTAATTTTATTGAATTTAGTGTGCAATACCTCTTTAAATCTTAGTGGTGGTGAGGTTGAAGTCATGCGAGCGTGGTGTAGTTCATTTATATATTTTTATATCTATATAACTTTAGATTTTTACTTCTGCCGATTGCATTTACGGTTTAAAAACAATAAACGTGATGATTTTCTGGCTTAACAAAACATGCAAGTATCACAAACTTTTGTTCTTTTCTGCAATAACCCAATAACCTTTTGTTGGTGGAACCAGGGAGATGCTAACTGGCCTACAAAAACATCCTACAACATCATCCCTGCAGCACCTTATGACTGACAAGTATCTCACAGGTAAACTGTAACATTTTCGCCCCCTGGTGGTGCTTTAGAGCAGTGTGTTGATGAGTGGGCCCCTCTCCTGTTTGAGGTGTTATGATGTGCATTTCTGCCAACTTTAAAGGGCAGTAATGCACATTGACAGTTGCTGGAAATGAAATGGGCCATAAAAGGAAACATTGCACCAAAAGGACACAACAAATTAAAGTAAACAAACAAACAAGAGATCAGTGTGGTCAGTGTTTTTTTTTTAAAAGGATTTTCATTATGATTTGTGTCGGATAATGGTTTATTATTATTTATTATATGTTTTTTATGGTTATTAAGAAGTATTACTTATTTGTATTAATGAATAAAACTTAAGTTTATTATGAAGAAAGTGTGATTTCTAATTTCTTGTTGTGTATTAATGTCTGTTGACAAGAATTTGTTTTTCTTCCGATTGTATTTGTATGTTAATTTAATGAGATGAGCTTTGTTGTGTGTGTTGTGTTTATGTGGTTACAGTGTGTAAAGCTGTGTGTAAAGCTGTCTGTATAAGTGTGTGTATAACTGTGTGTGTGGTGGAGTCCAGGAAGAATAACCAGTGCTTGTGCTGGTGCTAATGGGCATCCTAATAAAGAATAAACAACTAGCCGAACATTTCTATTTGGCTATTTGAGTGGCGTTTCTCTCGTCCTCTGCAACTCACGTGTAGCACCACAGCAGCCACTACAGCCATGACGGCTAAGAGCGCCATCCGTCCAATCCAGCCCAGGTCTATGTTCTTTAGGATGAAGAAGCGTGCCCAGCCCAGCTTCTTGAGTGTGTGAGGTGGGTACCGCATGCTGTTCACACCCTCCATTTCCAGCTTTTTAAAGAGACAACCACGCAGGTGGCTCAGCTGGTCAAAGCTGAACTTGCCGTGGTAGCAACCCATACCACTGTTTCCTGTACAGAGAAAACAGACAAAGGTAGTTTAATTGTGTTAACAAATAATGGCCTCTAGTTTGATGGAGAGTCAAAAAAACCCCTGAAAGCAGAGACAGTTAAGTTAAAATAGACACTGTAAAAAGTAGTAGTAGTTTTAAGTATTATAGAGGTTACTCTGCTTCATCTGAGCATCAACTCTAAAATCTCTGATGTCAGCGTTTTCTTGACCACACAAACAAGGAAGAGATTTTAAACAGTTGGATTACTACATTTTAGTAGTTGAACACTGACAAAAAATGAAAACTAAATATATATTAACCGTGATGGATTCATTATTTCCTAGCATTCGAAATTAAGGATGTCCCATTGTCCCAACTTTGAAAATAACACCTGGGACACAAAGATATAGTATCTGGGACAATTCTGGGAAAGTAGAGAAAGATTAATACACTATATTCACTATGTAGAATGAAAAAAAACTCTCCAATTTTGGCCAATGGTTGTCTGATTGATTGATTTGTTCAAGCAAAACCTATGCAGCACTGTCTTCTTGCCACTGAGTGAGTGAACAGATGAGTTCACCAATGAATGAGAAAGTAAAGGAGGCTTTTGTTTGTGTGTACTCACCGACTCCTCCGAAAGGCAGAGAGCTGACAGAATAGTGCACAAGGCAGTCGTTGGCCAGCAGTCCTCCACTGGACGTCGCATCTGTCATTCTCTGTATTACCTTTTAGAGAAAATACAACAATGTCAGGCCCATGAGTCTGAATCTACATAGTGTACATATTTTAGTTTAATGTATGTTTAATGTATGTTTTGTATTTTGTATGCCTACTGGATCCTTGAATTTCCCTCGGGAGAAATAAACGGATTCGTATCTATTCTAATCCTATCCTATCTATCTATCTATCTATTCTATCTATCATATCTATCTATTCGATCCTTCTATCGTATCTTATCTATCTATCTATCTACATGTAGACGTCTGCATGTGTGTAATGTCTGTCTATATAGCACTACAAGGCACAAGGCAATTTTAAGATTCATTAAAAATATAAACACATTAAAAAGAGGACACTACTAGTAGAATTAGACATTTAATCCTCTGCTGTTAGATACCTTTTTGTCTTGTGAGAAGACGTAGAGGGCCAGAGGTTTCTCTCTCTTATTGATGAACTGGATTGCTTCGTCCAGGCCGCTGACCGACACGATGGGAAGCAGAGGTCCAAATATCTCCTCCTGCATCACCTTCGCCTCTGGCTTCACGTCCCGCAGAACTGTGGGGGCTAAACACAACGCAGGAACACTGTTTATCACATGTATTTTTTTTAAATATACTTGCATGAATGTAAACCATATAAAACAAGCTCCCATTAAAAAGCTTTTTGAGACACCCGAGTCACATATTCAGGTAAATAAATCCTCATGCTGTCCGAAGTATTACCCAGGTAGCAGTCTGACTCGTCATTGTCTCCTCCCACAGCGATGGTGCTGTCTTCCACCATGGCCATTATCCTCTTGAAGTGGCGCTGGTTGATGATGCGTCCGTAGTCAGGACAGGTCTTTGGGTCATCTGTGTAGAACTCCTGGCAGCGAAAAAACAATCACATGACCACACAAATATTCTTAAAGTCAGAGATTGTGTTGGTACACTACAACATGAGGCTCTCAGGACATTCTGACATTGCAGGTTATCAAAGTTTTTTTTATCATTTTGGGGTCTTTGATAATTAATCTTTTGGACAGAATCACCTATTTTTTGTAGTTTAAAACTGAAAAAATGAATCATTACTGGTCTTCTGTACCTTAATGGACTTCTTGACCTCTTCGATGACCCGGTCCTGGATGCTGGGCTCACAAAGGATGTAGTCTGGGGCAATGCAGGTCTGACCACAGTTAGTGTACTTTCCCCAGGTAACACGCCTACAAAGTAGTGGAATAGTTAACAGGAGCGTCTCAGGAAGGAATAACGACAGTTTAGGAAAGACTAGATAGAAAACAAAGAAATAAAAATGCTATAAAAATAAAGGAGAAAAGCCAAATGGTGTTAAACCATCGTTCTGACCTGCAGGCTATGCTTATGTCACAGTTCTTGTCAATGTAGCAGGGGCTCTTGCCACCCAGCTCCAGGGTGACGGGCGTCAGGTGTTTGGCAGCAGCCTCCATGATCAGTTTGCCCACCATGCTGTTGCCGGTGTAGAAGATGTGATCGAACCTCTGGCGCAGCAGCTCCTGGGTCTCTGGCACTCCTCCGGTTATTACAGGGTAAAGCTCCTGACACACAGGGTAGAAACACACATTCACTTATCACAAAGCAGCACAAAGTACATGAAGCAGTGTCTGAAAATGGGCTTTAAAGTATTTGGATGCTCATTTTATTACAATTTAATTTAGGTATGTTTTTGGTAGATAATTTCTTCACCTGTTTGTATGCAAGGTTGTCCATGGAAAGTTAATATACTATATTAGTGCAGTATTTGTATTTTATAGGATAAACTTATGAGCCTAAAATGAAAGCATTACAGCCTTTCTATCTGTTTTTACAGTTGCCGTCCAACCCATTTCTCAACCTCACTGCTTTTGTTACTGCACTTTGCCTTTGTAGGGCAGTGTTGTTTGCTTAAGAAACAGTAGTCTTACATTTCATGAACAACAGCAGTGTCTTGTTTCACTGTCAAGAACCCTCAGATACATACTGTGTGGATGTTATGAGACCCATCCTTACTTTGTCGATGTAAAGCGGCAGCAGTTGCTCCATGGCCTTTGCCGTGTGAGCACTGACCTCAGAGGGCTTGACCACCGCTGCATTACCTGAAAAATAGCAAAAGCAGAAAATAGAATAACAAATATTATTATACATGTAGAATTATTTATTGTTATGGCACTGGTGTGGTCTCATACATGTGCAGGTAAAATCTTAGTCTTTTATGATTAGCAACTCCTGTAGTGATGTGAGTGCGTGAAAAATTGGGGGAATCAAACATTAGAGGAAGACTAACCAGAGCCTAAAATTGGTCTTGAATAAAGTTTAATGTATTTCTATAGCCTCCATCATAAAGTTCAAAGTTCAGTTATTTATGCATTAGTTGTTCTTCTAGTGTAAAACTACACCTGTCGTTTGTTTTCCAGTGGGGCAATATTTGTTTTTTTTTTAATGATGAAATTTTAATATATTTGCATTTTAGGCTATCATTTGGTACCTGCCCTTTCCTCTTTTTAAACAGACTCACTACTTACTAGTTTATAGGCTGTTAATGTCTATGTAAAGCATGTAAATCTAATATTCATTCTCTTTTAGCTCTGTTTTTGTCTCTTTGGCTCTTGAGCTGCTAAATGTTCGCCAGCTAGTCTCTAACTGTGTCTGTTTACCATTACTGAGGCAGGTAGTGTATATATAAGGCTTCTGGTTTACATGAGAACATATGTATTACCTGCTTATTACATAGACTACGTCAGTGGTTTATATCTGAGATCTGTCAGTGTATTTGTCCTGAAATTAAAGCATTTTACTTCACCTCAGACAAAATTTCCATACATACAAGAATTGTGTTTTTGTGAGAAGTAACTTTTGCCCCCTCAGTGACTCTTTATGCTGTTGTATGTTGATTATTAAACAGATGCTACAACTGGCCAACTTTTTTAGAAGTTACACTGTGATTTTTTTCTCTACAAAATGCTCATCTCAGTATTAGAGGAACTGCATTTTATTTCTGCAACTTCTAATATACCTTTTCACCATGCTGAGATACAGTGTTTTATTAATTAAAATAAACTGATTTTCATCAATAGCTGTCAGAAAGTGGTGCATGAGGACACACACGCATACACATTTTTTTATGGACCTGAAACTGTATTTAAGGGTTAAAGAGTTATTACACAGCAAGCATCTATAGTAACTCTGACCTGAATTTTTATTTTGATGATCGGTATCATGTATCAGCCAATGAATCAAGAGAAAAGACTTGTGACCTGCAGGGCTGATATGACTGTCAGTGTAAGAGCTGATAATTGTGGAGCAAAGGATAAAGGATAAAGTCCAGACTGTACAAACACTGCACTGCACGGGCTGCAGCCTGTCAGGATTTAAAAGTCCCTCAGCTATAAACACGCTTTGTTTCGAATGAAATACAAATGAGCTGCTGACCTGCAACAGCTCTCATAGCACTAATATGTAAACCTATGACTGGGGACAAGTAACAAACAAAAGATTCAAGCAAATAAAAGCATCAGACAAAGAGAGTTAAAAATACTGCTGTGTCATGCTAAACAGCCACAAGCAAACACTCCACACTGAGGTTTGCATCACAAAGCGATCAGAGCCGAGACAAAACACTCGGTTCAGAGCCTCCATACAAGTGCAAGGCGGATGTTTGAGGGTAGCTTTTGAGAGCAACATAAATTATTCATGACTTCTTATCTTGGAGCTGAGTTTAACTTTGCTCTTCATTCACTGATAGGAACAACGCACAGAGTTGAGACGTGTATATTCACGTGTGTAAACAAGGACACAATATATATGATATGATACACGATCACCTGCATGGGAGAAATTACATATGCACATTTTTTTTTATTACAAATCTATGGCTAATCTTTTTACTCTCTCATGACTGTGGTAGAGTTCACAGGGTGGCCTTTGACCCATTAATCACCAGCTAGCAGAGAGTAAAGAATGCTTGGTGAAACTTAGATAAAAAAAAGGAACTTGTGTGGTTATGATCACAAGACAAGGAAACAGAACAGGACTGAAAAATAAAAGACTAAATATACACTCAAAAAATAAGACATAGTTGTGATTTCTGCATGTTTGTTATTCTGAAATCGACTGTCTGGACAAAGGACACAAACTGTTTGTCAGTGTTTCAAAATTCAACCGGTGGTGTCTGAGATTTTATGCAGGACGAGTGCCCAGACAGATCCCTTCTCAAAGTTCATCACAGGGGAAAATTGCAATGTAATCAGATACAAATGTGATCGCTGACCTCATTACATCACACACATGCTGCCCTTCAACCCCACCCCACCCCCCACAGACACACAGCATGCTACCATACCAGCGGCGATGGCTCCAATGAGCGGCTGGATGGTGACCGCCCAGGGGTAGTTCCAGGCCCCGATGATAAGCACCACTCCCAGCGGCTGTGGCTGGATGTAGACGGTGTCCGCGATGGTCATCACGTTCTTCTCCACCGGCCGAGGGGCTGCCCAATCCTTCAGCTTCTTGATTGCCTGGCTGATCTCCCCCTCCAGGCCCAGAGTCTCATACAGCTGGGTCCCCACCTCGCTCTGGGGATGAAGACAATGACATTAGACTCATAGCTGATGTTGTATTTGTTTTTATCCTTTTTCACTGTGTGATTTTACTATAAAGTATATAGTACATAGTACATATATAATACCTTCCTTTGTGGAAATCTTAATATGTCTCTACCCTCTACTTCATTAGTATTTGCATCTCACATCAACTTGTTTCTGATCACTTTGTCAGCTTTCTGAAAGTATTTTATCTTTATACTTCAGTGAACATGCGTTTTTCTACTCTCTCATTTCCAAAGCTAACAACAGGGCAAAACAGAAAGCTCTGCCGCTGTCTTTGAGACAGCGGCACAAGCAATAATGTCCCTTGGAAATGCAGAGCTAATAGCCTGTAGATGATTTGCACAAACTAAGAAATACAAGCCTGAACCAACAGCCTCAGAACTGACTCTGACCCAAGTTTTTGTTCAGTTTGAGACTCTTGAGCTTGTTGGAGACCAGAGGACTGTACTATTAAGGGAGTTGAACCTACTCGAAGTATTATGGGTTATCATGGAAAGTCCGGGTTGACAAACTCTGACTGTCTACACTGGTGTTAACAGTAATATGATTAAGATGTTAGTTGAGTCTGTGTCAACTTAATCTAAGGTTTTTCACTCACTATAGTAGGAGCCAACAACGACAGGGAGGCAGAGTAAATTCATAAGTAACATAACAATGATCGTGTCGTAGGTTCTCTGTTTTGCTCTCAAATCTAAAATAACCTGTTAATTAATTAAGAAAGTGAGCCTGAAAAGTTATCCTGGAGGAAACATGTACAGTGTATTTGATCTTTATAACCATTAAACTGGGACAGATACTGAATTCACTCAGATGAGAATCAATATATTTCATAGAAACATCATCGGGGTAAACTAGAGGATTTTGATGTGTGCAAACATCTTCCAAATGTGCCGGTATTTTTCTTTACCTCCACAAGATTGTGGGCAGAGGAGAGAAGGTTTATAAAGTAACAACCACAAAGACAACATGCTCGGCGCGGTGAAGACATGGAGAGTAAATTGCCATGACAACATACCTCGGGTAAAACCTATGTACTACTTTTGTAGTACGAGTTAACCTGGAAGTTACACCTGAAGAACTGCTCAGTACTCACCTTATTGAGGTCTTTCTTGATGGCATCTGCAATCTCTTTCTGCTTCTCAGTGAATAACCGCTGCAGGTTCTTCAGCTGGTAGATCCGGTAATCTAACGATTTGGACCTGCCTGTTTCAAAGGCTTTCCTGGCACAAGCCACTGCCTGCTCTTCCCGGGACATCCTGTGAAAAAAATGATAGTTTTAGTTTCAGTCTGCTGTCCTGGCTGCATCCATAAGAGTAATTTTACTATCATAAACCAGAAACCAGAAAATGTATATTTCAGAAGCTGGATGCTGAATTTCTTTCTATAAAATGACTCAAAACAATTATTGATTATCAAAACGAGTTGCTGATTATTTTTCTGTTTGACCAGTCAATTAATTGACTTAATTGTTGCAGCTATTATCTAAAATAATAATTCAATAATGTAACATTGACACATCCTGTCATACATTTACTTCATGACTTTTTAATTCTTGATTCTCTCGTCGTCCCAGAGACAGTTAAAAATAGCTTGTGCGCTACGTCACATGTGAGTTTACGACACAGAATTTATTTCAGAGAGGTCTCTTCCTCTCCTCTTGTGCCTGGAAACAGTCGGTAGAGTAGGTGTGGTGTGAGGGGGACGTTTGACCTTCTCACCCACTCTTACTCTCCGGATCTCTGGATTCGGGCGTTCCTATCACTTGTAAATATTTACATAGTTAATTTGACCTTTTTTTTCTCACTCTTTATCTCCGGATCAGTGGATTAGGGTGTTCCTAAATATAATATGTACATGAGTAAATATGTACCTACTGTAGTTTTTCTGAGCTTGTAAATGTTTAAATTGTTTGTTTGATGTTCTCCCTCCCTTTGTTAATTTGTTTAAGCTTTCTGTTGTATACCAACATACACAAGTTTGCATTTGTACTGCAGTTTGCAGTTTATGTATTTATTTATCAAACAGCTGGAAATAAACAAGAAACAGTAACTCAACCAATGATTAAAGGAAGGTATAAGTGGAGGGAACAACTGGCAAAACTTTAATGTCGGACCAGAGTGAGATAATCAAGTGACGCAAGTTCCTGAAATAAAGTTAATAAACTATATTAATTATGTAGAATGAATAAAAAACAATGATTGTTAGAGGTCATTGTGTTTACGATTCATTGGCAATTAGTATAGTTGCAGATGGCAACTCCATCGCTTCACCCTTCCTCTCAAAGCACAAAGGAGTCTGTCACTACGTCACATTCAATAAAGGACTACAGAATAACTACAGAAAATTAATTGGCAACTATTTCGTTAATCATTAAAACCATTTGTCATGCAAACCGTATGTGTGTGTGTGAAAATAAGCTGCTTTTCCTTTTAATAATTTGGAGTTTTGGATGGATAAAACAAGCATTGCGAAAGCGTAACTCTGGTACTCTGGTAACAGCATTTTTTCAGTGTTCAGTGTTGCGAAATAAACAATCAATCGATTAATCGACAAAACAATTCGGTCAGATTAATCCATAAAAAAAATCATTAGCCACAGTTCTTTAGAAAAAAGAAAAAAATTACAACAGTAAAATCTTGCTTTTATATTATGAGTAACAATAAAATTCACAGGGGCATTTTCTTTATGCATTAAGTACTTTTAATTAAACAAACATTCTTTAGTTTTACTTAATCAAATATGTGAATACCTCCTCCACTACTGCAAAAAGTAGTCCTATATGAGTGTTTAATAAAAGTAGTCCAGCCAACCAGCAGCCTTCCTCCTCATTATGGATCTTACGGTGCAGTTTAAATGCCCCTCCTGCCTAATGGTACCCTGTTATGTTGCCCTTTTATGTTGTAATAGGAGTGTAATAGGAAACCTCCATGAGAATTACATCCACTGGGTCAGAGTTGAAGGTGCAGTTATGTCATACACACACACTTTATACACATATATCAACACACCGTATGATATCCGGTTGATCCTACCCCCTCAGTGCAGGAGACAATAACGGATATTTAACGTTATAACTCTGTAATTCAACCTTAACTCTTCCACAGTTGTCATTCGATATCTTCCTAATCTGTCACACTGGTTGGTTGGTAGTCTTTAAACCTCTGTTTTTCCTAACAAAGAGCGTTTTTTAGTCCGTCTCCTGACCTTCCCTCAGTGCCGCTGCTCGCTGCAGTCGACCAGCCAGTCAGATCAATCTGATCATGAATCGATAGAGAGAGGAAATACGCAGCCGCTTTACTTTTATTCCTACCTGATAGGTTTTCAGTGGGTTATTTTCTTGAGATCCCTGTTGGTGTTGGTGGTGAGATAACCCGCTGCAGAGGAGCAGAAGAGTGACAGCGACGGAGAAACATAGCTCTCTCTACCGTTAGGTCTCCACCCCCACAGGGGCAGGACCTAACTGCCTGTGGTAAGCTTTTAGCCACTGCTACAAGCGCCACTGCACCGTGGAGGACCAAGAGTTAGACCTGATCATTAAAAAAACATGTTGAGGCAAAATTATAAAAACGTTTATGATAAAAAAGTCATAATTGTGTGATAAAACATATCTAAATTATTAGTGAAAAAGTCAAAATAATGAGTTAAAATGTGAAAATGATGTAATAAAAAAATCTAAATTATTAGTGAAAAAGTCAAAATAATTAGATTAAATTTTGAAATTATTGGGTAAACAGTCATAATCAACGTTATTGTGATAAAAATCACGAAAATAATCAGTTAAAAAGACAAAATAATGAGATTAAACACAATTATGTAATAAAACAATCTCAATTAATAGTTAAAGAGTCAAAATAATAAGATAAAACTTTGAAATTATGAGATAAAAAAATCAAAATTATGTGATGATATGAAATTAAATGATATAATAAAAAATCTAAATTATTAGTTGAAAAGTCTAAATTATGAGATTAGATGTTGAAATTATGCTTATAATTATCTGACTCATAATTATTCCACACATGTTGTACCGACATTCGTGGTCCCCAGTGGATGAACTCTGCCTGTATACTTATCCTGACTTTTCCTCTAGCGCCACCATGAGGTTGACTTATGAGTTTTTTAGTGCGGCCGAGTTAAATGTCTTGACGAGTAATAAATGGATTACCATGAAATTTAAATTTATGACCAAACCTGCAAAACAAATGTGTTTATTAACCGCAGCTTTACTTTGTGTTTGGTGTTAATTAGACATTAAACATTATTACTTATTAACTAAACATGTTAGCATTGTCATTGTGAGCATATTAGCCTGTTAGCATTAGCAATTAACAGAGCTGTGGACTCGAGTCACATGACCTGAGTCAGACTGTAGCCTAGTTGACTCGACAAGATTAAAAAATACTTGTGACTTTAACACCAGTGACTTGTGGCTTCACTTGGATTTGAGCTTTTTGACCTGAAAACTGAAACTTCTTCATGTCCTGACTCTCAAATCCGACAGAATCCAATCAAGTTGCACGAGAGAACCATGAAGAGCTAACGTGTGTTACTGAGCACCAGTTGGAAGACAGTGGACATTGATTTGGTAAAGAGCGCATTGGGACTTGTTTAGGACTAAAAGTTTAGGACTTGTAAAACAGTGACTTGGTCCCACCTCTGGCAATTCACTCAAAGCACTGCTGTTCCTATAGCTTCACAGAGCCACGAGCATGGCTGTGGACTCTTTAGTTTTCTCCATTTAGATCCACCAGAAGGATCAGCTGTGTTCTGCAGCCACATTTGGAGGTTTCATTGCAGGTTTTCTGGTTAGACCTGGACCCAGCTGTCCCAGAACAAACCACTTCTGCATGACGACCCAAAGAGCTCTCCTAACTTCATATTAAACAATTATTTAAAAAAAATAAAATAAAATAATGAGCCATCCTGCAAGACTTTTTTCTAATGTGTTATGGGAACTGTTGCAATGTATCCATCATGAAGAATAATAAGAGTGACTACAATTGCAACGATATCACGTAGGATGAAAAGTATTCAGCTTCCCTCTTTGTGTCTGCTGGAATTAGACACCTCCCAGTGTGTTTGTATCCAACTTCCTTATCAACTGCATGCCAGGTGTTGCCAGGTAAGAACTGTGAGCCTGTAAAGGCGGAGGAATAGAGAGCTACAGATAGTAATGTTCTGACCTTGTTAATAAACATGCACATGTATGTAACAAAGAGTGATAATCGACTATAAGCTGCAATGGGACTAATTTCTCATGTGCGTCTTCCTCAAGTACAGATACATGGAGGCTCGTACAAGCAATAATTCATCCTTTGGAATAAGTGACAAAAACAGATATTGTGTCTGAGTATTAGTATTATAATTGCTCTTTAATCTCACCCTCTAGATTTTCCTGTTCGACACATATAAAAATCAGGAAAGGGAAGAAAAAAGAAATTATCTCTTTGCCTTGAAACTATTTGTAATTGCATTTTGTAAATAAGGCTTTATAATACTAACAAATATTCTCATACTAGTTTTAGGAGCCATTTTCTGATGCTAATACAGTTGTATATGAATCTTTTTATTTCTATTCAAACACTGTTAAAAATACATATATGGTCCTATCTAAATAATTGCTTCATAATACAACAACTGAATTAAAAGAGTGTGTATGATATAATTAATAATGATATAATACACAGTGTTTAATCAGTTCCCTGTTGTGGATTTATCCGTCTTTTATCAGATGCCAGCAGTCACACTTACGCTGTAGATCTCAGCACTGTGTGATACTCTCTCACATAATGATCCGGTTGGATTTTCCTGGAAATCCTGGAATTGAAAGAATATTGTATTTCAGGAGTGAGTATCCCGTCGTCCATCCAGCCTGATCCACATCGAGGCAGTTTTTTTTTTGTGTGTGTGTGTGTTTATTTGCTGTGTTTATCTCCACAGGGACAAGTACCTCAGCATTTCTAGTCGTATGTCCATATGAGCCTTTGTACAAATACCAGAGGTTGTAAAAATACACACATTCCTTACTCAAATAGAAGTACAGACACTAAAAGTGCTCTCCTGGTTTCTCTGAAGGACATTTCTACCAGCTGTTTCTGTGTAAAGCTAACTGAAACTTCCACAGGGTCAAGTCTTCCTCTCCGGTCTGTTACGTCTGTCGTGCGTAATATGCATCGCTCTGATTGGAAGATGTTCAACGATGCAAACATCAGTCCCGACAGTTTTTTTGGGGGATTGTTGCGGCCTAAAATGCCTGATTTCAGTACAGCGAGGAATGTTGCACATTTTTTCATACAATTAATAAAAAATCAAAGCCAACCTTTTCCAGTGAGAATAAAATCGCAGGTAGTTCAGTGACGTATGGCTCAACCTTTCACAATGATTGGTGAAACTAACAGGAAACGTGATTGAAAATTGTGGGAAAGTTGTGCAGGATTCACAGTGATTGGTTGAATTTGCATTAATTGTTTTATAAGCACTTTCTGAAGGAACTGAAAAACAAATAATAATCAATAACTCCCCGCAAATGCATTAAAACTAAATAATGAACATGTTTTAAAAGTGGAGGGACTAAAAGTAAAAAGTTGTCAGAAAGATAAATACTCAAGAAGAGTACAGATACCTGAAAAAACCACCAAAGTAACGCAGTATTTGTACTTTTCACTGATGGTTTTTTGCAGAAGGTCAAAAAATCTTCTGGATACAGAAAAGTGAAGTGAAAAGCTCAGAGAAAACAAATGAGCCCCACTGTCCCAAACAGAGTAACCCTAACTCGGATAAAATGACCAGATTTCTTTTAAATATTTCCCAGAACTGGGCAGAAGATGGCAGCATAAAGTGCTCCCTCCAGTGTTTTGAGTTTTTCCCTTCCGGCTGCCTCCAGGTGACTTGGTGCTGCTGAGCAAGGCAGTGCATCTGACGGAGGGGCAGCGGGTCGTCCTGAACACCGACATCCTGCTGGCGTCGGACTCAGCCGGCCGTCCGGAGGAGCTGGTCTACACGGTGTCCATGCCGCCTCGACACGGCCTCGTCCATGGCATCCAGCAACCTGGAGTCCCGCTGGTCACTTTCACGCAGCTCGATGTGGCAGCGCACCGAGTGTGTTACACCCACGACAACGGCCACCACGCAGAGAGCGACTCCTTCAGGTCAGAACTGGACTTACATTATCCCAAATGTTTCAAACAAAGTTCAAACTCAGAGAAATCTGTGATTTTATTCAGGTAACGCTGCGTTGCGCGCTGGCGTTTCACCGGCCGCCTGTCGACTGGGTCATGATCCCCCCTTTGTGCTGCGTCAAGCGTTGTGGTTGGTTTCTAGCCAAGTCCACTACTTTAGATCTTGGTGCTTTTTAACTGCCTAAGATTTGAACCGGATGAAAGGATTTAGGTCCCCATCGGACGTCTGGATCTTAATTATCACAGCAGAAACAAGCTGAGCCCTAACGGTAAGCCAGGCAGCTCGGCCTCAGTCTTCCTTAGCATCATATCATGCAACTTGGGACCATGGTAACAAGAAACAGAAACCGAAGCTGGAATGAAGGGTGATTATCAATTAATCATCAAACTGTTACATTCAATGTGCTACTATTTGTATACATCAATTGATACGTTTGGGTCATTTTGTGTAAAAATTCCAAAATTCACCTGATTTCAGCTTCTCACACCTACTGAATGACTTTTCTGGTTTCTTTAGTCCTCTCATGACAGGTAACCACTGAATATATGTGGGGTTGTGAACAAAACAAATCACCTTTTCATTGTTTTTCTGACCCATTTTACGGGACGAAACAAGCTAATCGATTAATTGACGGGGAAATGCGCCCTCACCGAGATTATTTACACAAATGAAAATAGCATCGTTATTGTGGCAGCCTACAATCCAGAAAAATCAAATAATGGTAGAAAACAAAACTTAATCCTGGTATTTTAAAACAGAAGCTCGTGCTGAACAATCATCACTGTGTGATGTACGAGCAGCTGTGGCTGTTTGACTTTGGCCCTCTTCCCGTTAAGCTGAAGCTATTTTTGCAGCACCAGCATGAAATTCCTGCACACATCCGAGGAGAATAAATCGGCACAATTATCCCAGGCCTGCACATTGTGAGCCGGCACAGGCCAGCCGCCCTTTCTGTCAGCAAGACCGGCGCCCCGTGAAAAAACTATCACGACACCCAACATGTGTGGCCCGACGAAAGAAAAACTTGGGCGACCGCGAGACCGAGAGAGAACAGCGTCGGCCGAGACGAGAGGCTTTCTCTGGATGCAGTGTGTTTATCTGCTTTTCCCAGCCAATTTTGGCAGCGGCGGGGGTTTTAAAGGGGGGAGGAGGAGGGAGAGGAGGAGGGGAAGGGTGTTGGCAGACCCCCGGGTTTGGTCAACCCAGACACCTCTGCTAGCCCCGACGGCTCGCTTCTCTGGCTCTCAAACGCGGTCAGGCATCACC